GGGGGCGCGGGGGCGCGGGGGCGCGGTGCTCGTGTTTGAGCTCAATCAGGCGGCGGCGCCCCTATTTGCATATCTTTTGTCGCATCGCTTTGCTGACGCGCTCCGGCGCCGGCGGCTGCCGCCGAGCTTCATCATCACATTGCTGCTTCTACTGCATCGTGCCAGTGCGGCACCCACACTGTCACACTTCTAGCTACGTACGACCGTTATAGTGCAGTTCTGCCAGCTAGCCAAGGTAAGGACAAAAATCAGGGATCTGAGTACAGGTATTATTGTATCGGTACCAGAGCGACACACGCGGGCGTCGGATTTTTAAATATCCCGCGATCGATATTAGGTCTTGCGTCGCGTCGGTTTGAACTCACTTATTCAGGAAATATGTTTTCGCGGAAATTTTCTTTTATGTAGTCAAAAGGTTTCATTATTCAAATCCACAGAGAGCTAAACAAGATGCCATTTACCGAGTTACACGACGCCAAACAGACTAACTAACGAAGCCGGACGACGCCAAATTGAATACGCAAACTGAAAAAGTCGGGCGTGTCGCGCGTCGCCTGCAGGAAGCACCGGCCGACAGACACTGTATGCCAGGCTCCGCCAGTAACTCGCGCGTTCAGTCACTGAGGTAGTACTGCGCGTCTCCACGTAATGAGGTGTTGCAGTGCGTGTCGTCGTGACAACGTGTTCTTGCTTTAACCTTAATTTAAATTATGAGAAACTCAAAAGAACCTGAGTCTTCAGATGTGAGGCCACGATGGTCGAACAAAAGGTTTATTTGGTAAGCTTTTGATTAGACTTTTCATAATAAGTGTCTCCCCTTCCAGTGCAAAGTCACTGTAGATAGATTGGATGCGAATGTTCATTACACCTTTACAACTATTTTCTTTTTCCCCAATGCCAAAAATTGATCCTTTACAGAAGTTGTATAATACCGTTGGACTGATAGTGGCGCCCCCAACGGTGCGGTGCGCGAGGCGTGCGCTTCACAAAGCCGTTTTGTGCCTCTTTATTATTTTCGTCATCCATCTTTTTAACAGTGACGTCACATTAAAGCCTAAATAAAACGTGTCACCGCAGAATAATGTCCTCAATCTCCATCACGCTTGTTTAGGATCATCTGCGCCGTCACCGTGCCCCCGCGCCCCCGCGTCCCCGCTCCCTGCGCCCCCGCACCCCGCGTCCCACACGCGGTGTGCGGGTGCATTCCGCGCAGTGTTTGAATTCATTATTCCAACCATGGTAATTGACATATAATTTCTATTTTTGTAAATGTTCATTAGCCTAACGTAAGCAAGTTGTTACTGCACTACTGCTACATCTGTGTGGTTACAGTTATTCAGGGGCACACGTATTTATGTACACCTACTCACTAGCTCAACACTGACACTGTCGGTCATACAATAGGTCGTGCCGAGTGATAATCGAACGTGCAAGGGCCGTGCGTCGTCGAGACCACTGCAACCGTACTTCATGTTTATGTTATCTTTTTATTTGATCCCTTGTAGGTTACAGCTACATAGACCTGTTTTACCACTTATAATGTTATTTAAGACCCCTATGTTACCTATGTTTACAATTGATAAATGAATTTGAAAAATTTGAATTTGTATCCATAACATAACATCACGCCTTTTATTCCCGACTTCCAGACTTTTATGTTCTGTAGGGAACATCCACAGAAGTTTTGAAACCACCGAGTCAGTGATAGCACAAGACGTGAGACGTGAACCATTACTTTTATTATTGTTTACAGTACAAGTATGGCGTGGCCTGTGTGGCGCATTATATTTGATGTGACAGAATGGTTCGACTTGCTGCAGGACTGGAGGACATTGCTGGTCGTGTCCGCGAGTGAGAGACTCGCTCGACTGCTCTAGTTCGGGTCAGCAAACAGCGTGCATGCGTTGGCGAGGGACTGGCCATCAGCGTCAGTCAGCTCTACAATGTCACAAGTGGTGTAATCCTGCTCAATCTCCTCCTCTGGTTCCTCCACCGGTTGTTCCTCCTCTGGTTCCTCCTCTAGTTGTTGCTCCTCTGGTTGTTCCTCCTCCGGCTGCTCCTCTGCTGCTTGGTCGGACGGCTGCTCGAAGTCGTCGTCGGGGCGCGGCTCGGGACGCGCCCACACCAGACACACGGCCAGCGACAGAGCTAGTACTACCTGCCACACGCGAGGGAAACATAGTTCTATATTAATATAATATGTATGTTATGTACACACCATGGCAGAACCTGGTGCATTTACTAAGTTTACTGAGTTACGGACACACCAGTCGCATGCACAGTGGCTACAACATGCTTGTGTTGTGTACGGGAGCCTTGTGGATATTGTGACAAGAAATTACAATCTCTGTAAAACAGTTTAATGTAGAATGTTTAAGAACTCACCAGTAACCGCATTGTTCGAGGAAGACTTCAATATAATGGAAGTCCAACCGTGGCGCAGTATTTATACAGAGCGGTGGGTAATGTGGTGACCACAAACTCGCGGATCCATTGATAACGAGGATGTCGGCGCAGGTAATTAGAACCGGTGCGACCGGCCGCGCCACTACATTAAATACCAATTACAGAGCACACCGTCTCCCGTCCCCCGCCCCCCGCCCCGCACTGGCTGCCATCTCTCCCTGCATCTGCATCTGCTCCCTGCCTGCACTCCGTACGCGAAGCGCGAACATATGGATTGCTATAGCAAATCCTTGGCGATTGTATCACGTTAGAGCGTTGCGTCAACTGTTGAGCTGACCGGCGCCGGCGCCGGCGCTGGGTGCGTGGCCGCGCCTGGCAGGCAGGTAGGACTTGTCCTCTTCCTGTACGAGGATGACGAGGATTGTGTACATTCCTCGCGTAAGTTGTACGAGTTGCTGAGCCTGATGACGCCGAAATATTTGTAAAACTGTCTCGTACATAGGAGTGACGCAAACCACACAGTACACATATTTATAAAGCACTCGCTCGGTGTCGGTTAGTGCGCGGGAGATGTTCCGCCACAAGGCACGCGACACTCGCTCACTGATCTAGAGGTAGTATATAAATGAAGAGTTGTTAGTAAATCAATGGACATTCCACCCATTCGCACGAAGCGTTTCTCGTCAAGCTTCCTTGGGCGAACCGCTAAGGAATGGACCTCCTTGCCGGGATCTGTTTCCCGACAAATATGACTTGGATGTCTTCAAGTCCCGAGTGAACAGGTTGCTGAGTATAGACGTGCTCCATCGTCGGCCACATGATCTCTTACCACCAGGCGAGATGGTGGCCCAACATCAACCTTTGAAGTATGAAAACAATAAATTAGTTTAGTGTATAGTATTGTACCCACTGGGAGGGAGGCTCACGGTCCGCGGTTTCAGTAGAGGGCGGCCGGCTCGCGCGGCCCCATACAGTTTCCGAAAATTCACTCACTCTCTAGCAAACGAAAGAATGGTGTCCCTTTCAATAAAATTCATTTTATGTCTTCCTAAGTAAATATATTTGAAATCGAAGTTATTTTACGGCCCCGCAGTGAGCCCTGCGTGTGCCGTGAATGGTCGCCGCGTAGCTGTCCATTGCGCGGCTCGTAGCGCGCACGACACGACTTGCTCTCGCGCGGCCCGCAGTGGACACGGCTCACGACGACCGTTCACATGGAGCGCGCCCCCAGCTGCGGCCGAGTCCCGGTAAATGGCGGTAACTCGTAATATATTTTTTCTTGCCGACCATTTGTCTGGCGCACGTGGGTTTTTGAAGATATATATATTAAGCGTCTTAAATACACCATGTACCTGAGAGCGCACCATGAATGTGGAGTAGACTGCGAGCCGCGCCCTACAGTAACTCGTGGTAGTCATGCTCCAGCACTCCAGCACCGCCGTCGCGAGTGGTAACACTGCCACACTGCGCTGTGTGAGTGAGGTTACAGGCCCACGCCCCCATGATGGCAATGCACTTGCGTTCCAGATTGTGGTCTAATATTCAAGTAGTTGAATGATACCTACATTTAAAGAGAACATTTACTTTTCCTACTAGACTAGTACTACTACTATCTGATTGAGTAAATCAAAAGTCGACATTTCTTAACAGTCGTGATTTTCACAGACTGTACGTATGCCGAGAGTAACACCAGCAAATCCGTGAGTGCTTGGCATTACTTGTCGCCAGGGAGACGTTAGTGATCGCGGTTGTACGCGCCAGTACGCGCCAGTACGCGCCAGTTCGCGTACGCGTCGCGCCATACATCAGCGACTTTGATACAATTTGCCGTAGAAAGTCGCCACTTTGATGTATTACCGGAAAAATAACAGAGCCAGATTAAATGGCGAGTCACATCTCTGTACCGCCCACACGCGGATACCGGCTCTATGCGTGTGACATAAGGGCTCATACGGTGTGACTGGCGACCGCGGCCACTAACACTACAGGTCACTGATGATACACTAAACTCAATCCTATTACTAAAGTGGTAAAGTCAGTTTTCGAGGCGAACGCGCGCGACGATCGGAGAATTCAGCCATTATTCCGTCGGATGACTTTTCGTGAAATTTACTATTGCGAGGTTTTGTTCGTAGCGATTGTTTATGGCAGATTAAGGCGGGAGTCGATATGCTTTGGGCTCTTTTATGTTCTGCCACCGGCTTACGTTACCGTGTTTACGGATTTTTCCTCTAAGCGGATAAAAAATACGTCAGTAGCTTTTTGCGTATGAAAAATAAACGATGTATTTATGCGGCATCTCGTAACTCCGCCGCCCCCCCCCCCCAGCTCCCCGCCCCCCTCAGCCCGCTACCCGAGAGATTATCTTTTTATCGAAACATAATGTTGTCCGTCTCGGAGTAATTTTTGTATCGCGGGGAGCACCCGGCACCCGGCACCCGGCGCGGCGCGGGCCGAGACCCGCTTAACAAATAAAAACTTCAATGTAAAAGGTTTTACTCCCAGCGAAGTGTAGTTTATGAAGATATTTTCTGATCGCAAGTGGTTTAAGTGGTGTGGCTGTGCAGTAAGAGGCACCGTTTCAGTTCATTATCTGAGCTGCACAGAAGATATCTGTCGCACTATGTGACCTGACTAGTGACATCAGCAGCGCCTGCGCAGTGGATACATAATGTTTAAACATAACATCAACAGGATCAACAGGATAAAAGGCGTGATGTTATATCACGCCTTTTATCTCCGAAGGAGTAGGCAGAGGTGCACATTATGGCAGTTAATGCCACTGTACAATG